TCTATCTATCTATCTATCTATCTATCTATCTATCTATCTATCTATCTTTCTACCTACCTATTCATCTATCTATCTATGCATGTATATGTTGTGGTGATGCGTATATGGTGATGCACACATGTCTCCAGATGTATATGCCTGTGGCGGTCAGGAGGGATACAAAATCTGGACCTCACGCCTGAGTGTCCAACGCTTTACTCATTGAGCCAGCTTGATTTGGGGACAAGGTGTCTCACTGGCTTAGCGTGTGCCAATGCAGCTGACCTGGCTAACCAGGAAGCCCCAGAAGTCTCTATGTTCCCAGCATCGGGATTACAGGCGTGCGCTGCCACAGTCAGCTTTGGGGGTGGGTTCTGTGCATCACACGGAGGCTGTCACCCTCGTGTGAGAAGTGCTTTATCAGCTGAGCCCTCTCCCTGGCTTGATACTCATGTCTTTTGTGTATTCAGATCATCTGTCAAGGTGCCTGTGTTGGGAGAAAATAGCTCCAACTTTTGAACCACAAGTTAGAAAGTGTTTTTAGAGCACTGGAGCCGGGCAGGGAAGCAGCTGCACCCACTGGACAAGTCAGCCCCGGGAGCACCTGATAGCTAAGGGGACATTGTTCTTTCAGGCCCTGTCAGTCAAGGTCGCATCTTTTTTTTTCTAATTGTTTAAAAGATCCTCTAAATTGTTTCTGTGTGTATATGTATGTGATTGCTTGATGTAGGGAGGGGCATGGATGCCACGCTATGTATGTGGCGGTCAGAGGGCAATTGTGGCGTCTCTTCTCTCATTTGCTTTTACACGAGTTCCAGAGTTTGAACTTGGGGTCATCAGGCTCATGTAGCAATCACCTTTACCGGCTGAGCCACCTCTCCAGCCCAATGTCCCATCTCTTAGAGGCACAGGAAGCCCAGTCTCCCTGCCCTGCATTGTCCCAGACTCGGAGTGACAGTGACAAGCTGCTCTAGCCCAGTTTCCAGCCCTTGACCTCCTTCTGGGAGAGAGGATTCCCTTTCCCCTCAGCCAGACAAGCTTGGGTTCCCTGCAACAGACAGAACATCCCAGGACTACAAACCCACCTGCCACCCCGCTGTGCATGGATAACTCTTGGTGTGACTGTTAAGAATCCATCTTGTGGCTCATGTCTAGGTAAAACTGCAAACATGAACAAGACTTGCTTAAGTGATACAGACCCCCTTCCCCCCAAAGGACTGGGCGATGAAAAATTCCTCTGTTCTGTGTTCCCAGGGTGGTAGTGTCCTGAGAGGCTCCTCAGACACCTTCCCAGTAAGTAGGTCAGGCCCAGCCACGCAGTCAGACAGACGGCCCCAGGAAGGGCAGGCATATCTGCAAGCAAAGCCCTTGCAGGTCCAGCACAGTGGCGCTGTGATTAAATGAATCTATTACAATTATTTTTTGCTTGGCACAGCAGTTTGTATTTACACAGAAGCAAAACCAGCAATCAGACGTCGAAGGACTCCAAACCCAGCAGTTTCTCGCTCTAATTGCGCCCGGGTCCCAGCTATCTACATATTCTTTCGTACGTCTCCCCACGTCTCCTTTCCCTCATGAATACCATGAAGGGCGTGGTGCCAGGGTATCACAGGATGCTGAACAGGAGACTCGGGGTAGGGGGTAAGCTCGGCTGCGTTCTGACTCTGGAGAAGCGGGGCGCCTGGCCGTCAGCTCTTTCTAGTTCCTTCACCACCTTTTCATGGGTCCCCAAGAAAGAGGCCGTGTGTGCAGGACTTTGTGCCTGGACTGTGTGGGTTTAATACTATGGGCTGGAGTGTTCTACACAAGTATGTCAAGATCCCGTGTCCTCCAATAAGAATGGACAGGGCCATGTGGAGAGTGGGAGAAACAGAGACAAAGTATTAAGAAAAAAAGACAGAAGCGTAGCACATGAGCCAGCGGACCGGGGCCTTGGTGGGTGACCTGTAAGGTGTGAACTGTTCTCCACGCTTCTCCACATTGGCCTTTTGGGAACAGGTTTCCAGTCTGGTTTATTTTACATGTTATGGGGCATGTGTGTACATGCATGTGTGCATGTATGTATACATGTGTGTAGTGTGTATGTTGTACACGTGCGTGTACATGTATGTGTGCATGTGCTTGTACATGTGTGTACATGTATGCATGCATGTGTGTATATGTGGTGTGTGTGTGTGTGTGTATGTGTGTGTGTGTATAGGCCAAATGACAATCTTGAGCATCATTTCTCAGGCACTGTTTACCGTTTTGTTTCTGTTTTGAGACAAGGCCTTTCACAGGCCTAGAACTCACCAAGTAAGCTATGCTGGCTGGCTGTCCAGCGAGCCCCAGAGATGCCTCAGTTTTCCCCACTCTGGGATTACAAGCATACACATCCTGCCCAATTATCTATGTTGTCCTGGGGAACCAGCTCAGAACCTAACGCTGGGACAGCAAGCTCTAGCTACAGAACCATCTCCCTGGACCCTCATTCCCCACCACGATCTCCTGCCACAGGAGAGCATCCTGCCCAGACCCCAGCTCTGACTCTACCCTTCTGCATCTATATATATAAAAAAACCAAACAAACAGGGTCTCAATGTCTACTTGACACAACAGGCCCTGTCTCACCAGATCACCACATGGCTCCCCCACAGGTCACTGCCAGCTGTGCACAGCGGTTTCTACTCTTTTGGGTCCCTTTCCTGCTCTGTGCCTCCCTTATGCCGCCCTGGTTCAAGCTCCTAGCATGAACCACATAGCTTATTTCCAAAAGAGACGCTGAGGAATGCCTGCAACCCCAGGACTCCAGAGGATGAGGGTCAAAGATAGAGCTCAAGGGCAGCCTGAGCTACACAAGGGGACACACACACACACACACAGAGGAACATGCACACACACACAGGCACACACGCAGCCACACATACAGGCACACACACACAGAGACACACACACATGCACACACACATGCACACACACACATGCACACACACACACATAGGCACACACACAGGCACACACACACACACACACACAGACCCACACCAACACACATACATCTCTAAAGAGTTAAAACAAATGATTCCTGCCAAGCTATGCCTGTTCCCCAACCTTTCGCCAACATCTGAGTCCTAACTGTAGCACTCCCACCTAGGCACAGAGTCCAACTCACAGTGCCAATTCTGCTTTATTTCTAGATGCTTAGAACACACCTTCCCTCCCCAAACCTTTCCCCTTCCCGGTCACCATAATGCCCTCTGCACATGCCCCAACCTATATTCCTGTACCTTTCAAAGCTTCTGGAAGCTTCCGTGGACTTCACCTGCCTGACCCCCTTCTTCCTCAAAGCTCCAGTCAGCACCTGCACTTCCCACTCACAAAGGCTAACTGGGCACCGCTTCCATGTGCTTTCTGGAAGCTTCCATGCAATGATCTCCTTACTCACGAGCCTCCAGTCCCAGGCTTACCTGGTGTCACCACAGAACACAGGCTTAGCTTGAGAGGCTGCTCTTGAGCCTACTACTCCCATCTGCAGGTATGAGACCATCCCACGACTCACTATTCTCCCGCCTCGGTTTCCTTACCTATAAACTGACGGGCACAGGCCGGCCAAGCTGTGAAAATGAGCTAGGTGCTCAGGGTGGTGCTTGGCCCATGCAGAGTCCCAGGGCTGGGCTGTCCACCACACTATTGACTGATGGCCCCAGGATAGTGCTTGGCAATCATAGCAATTTTCCTAATTTTTGTGTGTGGTTTATGTGTGCATGCACACACGTGTGTGGAACCCAGAGGCCAATTGTCATGTGTCTTCCTCAAAAGTTCGATATCTTTTTTTTTGAGCTAGGGTCTTTCACTGAACCTGGTGATAGCTGACTTGGTTAGGTTGTCTGGTTGGTGAGCCCTAGGCCCTCGGTCTTACCACCCAATGACGACTGCAATTACCGGAGCATGCCATCATTCTTAGGCTTTTACATAGGTTCTGGGGACCTGAACTTGGACTCTCATGCCGGTGTGGCAAGTGCTTTACCAACTGAGCCACTTTCCCAGTCCAGTAACTGATTTTGGAACAAAGTTTTTTTGAATAAACTATTTTCTAAAATCCCAAACTCTTAGAAAAAGTAATTCATTTTAAACGCAGGATCATCCACCCATATGCATGAAGTACAAGAAAATGCCATTTAGAGACTGCTGCTGAGACCTTGAACATGAACCGCGGTCCTCCACAACAAAGCTGCTCATTGTGGCTTGGTAGCGGTTATTAAAGCAGTATCGCCATGAAACAGCCTCGCCGTTAATTTTCATTTCCTGAGGGGCAAAAGCACCATGTTGAACTAATGCCCTGCAGAATTTCAGGTTCAGTGTGCTATGGGATGGCAGGGTTTTCTCAGGTCATGCAACCACAGCCTTTTGCAAAATTTATTCAAGACAAAACGGTTCCTATAAAAGTCCCAGGGCCGATGGGATGGTATGCAAGGATCTTTGCATGCCATCTTTGCAGACATCTTTGGTCTGCTTATAATGAGACAGCCTTAGCTACCCAGTGTCCTCCACACACAGCTTACTGTGGTTCCAGATCGGATGGACCAGAAAGCTCCAGAGCATTCCAAGAGTTTTCTCGGGCCTCCAACTTTCATGTAGCCAAGGACGACCTTAAACTTTTCATCGTCCTGCCTCTATCTCCTGAGTGCTAGGAGAGCAGCCCTGCGCCACTGTGCTTGATTTAACTGACAGTCCTTGAGCTTCAATTAGAGAAAATAGGAAAGTTCCTAGTTTGGTTCTGTTTGAAATCACATGTATTTGGATCAATAGTTCAAAAGGATCCATAGGAGGTGACTCTGGTGGTAGAGTAGTTGTCTAGTGTTTGTGAAACTCTGGGTTCCAGCCCCAACACTACACAAAGTGAGTGTGGTGGTGCCCACCTCTAACACCAGCATCCGAGTGGAAGATGTAGGAAGACCACCGGCACAAGGTGGTTCTGGTCAGGTTTTGCCAACTTCACACAGACCTTCAGTTGAGGAACTGTCTTCATCAGAATGGCCTGTGGGCAGGACTACAGGGAGTTTTCTTGATTCATGACTGATGTAGGAAGGTCCAGCTCACTGTGAGCAGTGCCACCCCCAGCAGGGAGACCTAGACTGGAGCAAGCCAGCAGGCAGCCTTCCTCTGTGCTGTCTGCTTTAGTTCCTGCCTTTGGTTTCCTTTGATGACAGACTGTAAAGGTAAGATGAAATAAACCCATTCTCCCCAAGTTGCTTTTTATCAGTGTTTTACCACAGCAATAGGGAAATGAGACTAGAAATTGGTACCAGGAGTGGGGTTTGGCTGTGATGGACCTCATCATGCGGCTTTTGTGTTTTGGACTATTTTATAGGAGGAAGATGGATGATTTTGGAGCTTTGGCCTGGAAAGACACTGAATACTCAGAGTTTAATGACCTGTTGTGGGAACTTGGAAGATAATTCCGAGAGAAAGGCAGTCAGTGGAGGACTCGCTTGTGAGTGTCAGAGAGAAATTGAGAGTCTCTCAACAACTTTATCAGGGCCATTAATATGATATTTTGAATAAAAATCTATGGTATCTGCTTATCTCGGGCTGAAGAATCAGCTGCAGTTAACAAGAGACCAGCAGTAATGAAACCTTTGCTTTATTGGAACAATTGATGCTGGTCAGCTGGATCCGAAGAATCAGTTGTGGTTAATAAGAGACCAGTTATTATTGAGGTAAAATCTGGAAAGTATTTGCTCGAGGTCAGCATCCAGAAGCTGTGGTCTAGAGAGGGTCAGGGATGAATCTCAAGCTAGAAGTCGAATGGCAATAAGTAAGAGTCATCTCCCATATGGTATTGACTTTGAAGACATAAGGGAGCCAAGGAGAGCAGCTAAGACTCAGGGCTGTGGGAGGATGCTAGTGGGGGTACAGCCTCAGTTACAGTAGAGATTCCAGGATTAAAGGGTTCCTTGAGGGAAGCTAAGGCTTGGCAACTCTTCCCCCCTAAAGGAGGAGGCCACTAGACCCTCCCTTGAAGTTCTAGCTACCACTTCTTACTGTCTCAGCTACATGTAGACTTAGCAAGTATTGGTGTACATAGGAGGAGAAGATTTAGTGGGAGCTGTGGACTTTGCAAGGCTATATAGCTATCTATGCATTTGACATACCATATTTGGGGTTTTCCAGGGGTATAACTGTCTGTGTGTCTCCCAAGCTTGGGTAAATAACCCCAGTAAGCTCTTTGGCTCATCACGCTGGCCTTCAATGGGATTCTGTCTTTGGTCTGTCTGGACCATCTTTCCATTCTGGCGAGAAGACATTTCTCTAAACCTCCCCGGGAAAAGTAGGGTTAACATGAGACACGGCCTCTCCATCAATAAAAATGAAGAAAAAGAGCAAGGAACTTGCCTTGGTGGATACAATGGACACCATGAAGAAATCCAGGAGGAAGCTCTCAGAAATGTCTTTGTAGTCAAAGTGGAAAAAGATGACCGTGAAGCCCAAGTTAGCAAACTGGTGAACCGGGTTACAGAACGCGGTCCTCAGTAGCTTCATGCCGGCGGTGATCATCAGAAAAATGTCCCAGCTGCATGGGTAGAAGGGGATGGGTCAATGACATCATGCAATGTGTTATACAATCACTTTGGCCCCTTGAGGTCTGACTGCGCAACAAGCCACATGCAGGCTAACGAGGTCAATGTGGTCCTGCACCACCCACATCTACAGGTGGGGTACAGGGCTTCAGAGAACAGGGGTGACCATCTACATTCTTAGGGTAAGTTTTAATGGAGACTTGGTCTGAACTGACTCCCTGGCATAGCCTCCTTGTCACTGAAGACATTTTATGTCTGTCCTGGCTAGTTTTGTCAATCAATACAGCCTAGAAGAGAAGGGAATCTCAAGCCTTGTTCAACTTGGCCTGTGGATGTCTGTAGCGGATTGTCTTCATTGTTAATGGATGGAGGAGGGCCAGGCCCACCACGGGTGGCACTAGGCAGGTGGCCCGTGCTGTATGAGTAAGCTAGCTTGCATGAGCCTAGGAGAGAATCAGCAAGCAGCGGTCCTCCAGTGGTTCCTGCATTCAGCTCTATCAGAATACAGTTCAAGAATGGAGTTGTACAAGGGGAATTCTGAGTGTCTGTGAGAAACTCCACAGAAGCAAGACAAGAGTCTTGTGAGCTCAGTTTCCTCAAAAACATAGACTTGTTCTTAGAATGTGTTTTCGTACTCCTTCTAGGAGACACGAGTGAGCTTGCTTCAGCTGTTGTCATTCGTGACTCTAGGAAAAAGCGTATTTTTGCCATGTGCAGCTTGTCCTTATGATTGTATCCTTCACTCTGAAGACTCTCCTTAACCCTCGGAGTATAAACTGTCTGATGTTCTGAATAAAGCTGCCTATTGCACGAGACTTTAGTCTGCCTCATTTTTAGGTTCCGCTTTTCCAGGTTCACGGCGCCAACTAGAACAGCAAACAAAACTCCTCCCTCGCGAGAGACCTGGATGTGTAAGCCTCTGATTCTCTCCTCTAAGCAGCCTTTGGTTAGTGTTTTCCTACAATAGCAGAAAGGACATTAGGGGACTGTCCCTCAAAAGTTGTGGTCACAGGTCCTTGTTCTCCTCAGTCACGGAGAACCTTCAGGGTGTATGTGAGGCCACAGACGCCACGGGAGAGCACGTGCACTGTCCCAGCCAGGGTCTGCTCCCACGCGCCTGGTCAAAGCAAGAGCCCGCGTTATGCATCGAACACAGGGAAATGCAGTTTTAATAAAGTCGTTTGCATTTCTGCATCCCACCTCCAGCGCTTCTCATGTTTGCTGCTCTAGAGACCACAGGCTTTCTCATCGCCTTTAAAAGCCAATTCCCTGGCTGGGCGGTGGTGGCGCATGCCTTTAATCCCAGCACTCGGAAGGCAGAGGCAGGTGGATCTCTGCGAGTTGAGGTCAGCCTGGTCTATAAGAGCTAGTTCTAGGACAGGCTCCAAAAGCTACAGAGAAACCCTGTCTCGAAAACAAACAAAAGACAACAAAAAGAGTCAATTCCCTAAATTTCCTCTGCCATGGCATGAGCTGAGCAGCTGACCCAGGCAGACCCGTGAGAAACCTTCCCTCCTAGGATCGCTTTTCTGCACCTCCCCCTACCACAGCACTGTATTTGGCCAGGGCCTCTCACCTTCTGTTAGAACGACAGACCTGCAAATTACCAATTTGTAAATTCAGAAGGAATTGTTTGTCTACGAAACTAATGATTTAATCTCCCACGGCTCATGCTTTGTGAGAACATGGACACCTTGATGAGGCCGCTCTTGATGAATAAAGAGAGCAGTGACAGGGTCGCCTCCCCCCTCCCCAAAGCATGCTATTTGCTAAACGAAAACGATACGGAGCAATTTGCGAAGCTTGAAGCGCAGCGGTGAAGACTCCGGGATTTCCGATTCATGCTGAGCTCCTGTCACCTGAGGAGCATCAGCTGATCTTCTGCAGGGAGATGCTCAGACCCCCCGATGTTTATCCTCGGCACTACCGTGGGGCGTCCCTGGCACGGCACAGTGACTGCTTACTCAGTGCAAAAACTGCCCTGGTTCCCTTCGTGAGGCCACTATGTATGGCGCGGGACACTGGCTTTTGCTGTCTGTTTAGAGGAAATGTACTTGGTTCTGAAAATGTAACCCCCATTAGTATGACAATAAACTGCCATCCACTTACTGGGTCCCGAGTCTCCTGTAGTTGCTTATGGAGAAGGCATCAAGAGTGAGGGCGTTCAGGACGATGGCCGGATACAAGAGATACTTTTCAAAGCACTGAAGCCACACGTAGAGTCTCTCAAACCACATCAGATGAGCAATATCTGAAAGAAACACAAAATGCACTGTGAGGCTTCTTACACACAAACCGCAAGAGCTCTCCCCGTTCAGCAGGGCTGGGGTGGGTGCCCGGTGCCAGGCACTGTGTGCCGGGTCTCCTGATGGGCTGCTGCTCGCAGCTCGGATTCTGCCCAGTCCACAGGTGATAGCACACAGGTCAGCACCCCTGTTTTCAAGACAACTGACTTGTTTGGAGATTTAGGGACAATGAAACGCAGTCAGAGGTCACCAGGTCACCATCCTCCCGCTTCTGCTTGTCTTCACAGTATTTCATGTCTTCGGACACGAAATCCTTTCTCACTAGAGCAAATGTTCTTCGAGTAAGGCTTATAAATGTCAAACCTCTCTTTATGTTTCTAATCAGATAGGGACAATGATCTTTATCTGGGGAAGGTAAAGAATTACAAAGAAAAGCAAAAGATATGTCAGGCTCCATTAAAACAGGGAAAAGTCAAAGAGAATTGAGTTCATGAAGGAGGGTGGATGCAGAGGTAGGAGTGTCCCCTCCTCTCCCTTCCTCTTCCTTCCTTCCTTCCCCTCCCCTTCCCTCCCTTCCATTTCCTTTCCTTTCCTTCCTGTGTTTTCTCTCTTGAAAGATCAGTTGTTTAGTCTCTTTCTGAATAAAATTGAGTTTTTCTTCTGATTTCGCTTTCTGTAAAGAATCAGCAGTGTTGGATTGAGGCATCACATCAAAAGCAACTCATTCAACCTGTTTCAGAAAACATGTTAGCGTTCTATCAACATTTGCCACCAATTCAGAGAAACATGACAACCTAAAAGTAAAGGGACAGGCATCCAAGCCATGTCACCCGCAGTGTGTCAGAGGAAAGGATGGGTGCCAAGGCTGGGGAGAGCCGGGAGCCATCTGGCCGGGGGAAGGGTGTGTGTGTGGCAGATTTTCAAAAGCTTGTCATGTTTGCTTTTAAAAATGATATTTTCCAGTGTGTGGCAACAAGAGCGATTCGAGACGGGGAGCGGAGAAGGCAGGAATCCTCCCATCGTGTTGACAGGGTCTTACTGCAGAACATGACGAGAAACGCAGGATGTTCACGGGCTTCAGTGACTCACCCGAGGAACAGAAAGCAGCAAATTTCAATGAAAACATAACCAGCAGTTGGCTCCGCACTCACGTCCTGTGATTTGCCAAATATGTAAGAGTGGAATGACTTGTTCATTGAGCCAGCAACCGTCTGAGCTTTGTGTGAGCATGTCTGCTTGTGTGTGCTGGTCTGTGTCTATGTAGCTTGTCTACCTGTCTGTGTATCTATGTGCACGTCTGTGTATTTATCTGTTTGTGTTTGTGCCTGTCTGTCTATGTGTGTGCGTGTTTGTATGTGTTTGTGTCTGTGTGTGTCTATGTGTCTGCTTATGTGGCTGTGTTTCCGTGTTGCCCATGTGTCTGTCAGAGAGTCTACACACGTGTCTGTGTATAAGAATGAAACCACAGTCCCTCTGCCACTCTGAGCCATGTGTTTGTGATCTTAGAGTTTCGGGGAGACTCGGGCATTAAAGCTTATTATGATTTGGATGTGGAATGTCCCCACAGGCTCACATGTTTGCACGCTTGGTCCCCAGATGGTGGTGCCATTCTGGGAGGCTGTAGAACCTTTTGGAGTGTGGTAGTTAGGCAGAAGCGATCACTGTGGGCTGGGCCTTGAGGGTGATGCCCACTTCCAGGTTAGCCAGAGCTCTTATCTTTTCTGTCTTGAGCTGTAGCGATGTCATGATCCTGATGCCAGTTCCTGCACCACAGAGCAAGCATCTGAGCTGCTTCAGTCTCCCCATCTTCCCCACCATAGCAGACAATAATCCTCTGAAACCATGGACCCAAGTGAATTGACCCTAGCCAAAAAAAGAAAAAAAAAAAGGTCTTGCTAGGCATTTGGTCATAGAGAGTAGAAAAGGAATTGCCAACATTCCTTCCTATTGCCAGACTCTGCAAGAGGAAGCATGTGCCCCAAAAGGTCAGGCCATCCAGTCAAGGATATGGATGGCTGGTGCCTGGATCCTTCAGACACGTTGACCCCGTCATCAGGCAGAAGCTGAGCAGTGGCCTCTATGAAGGAGCTCTGTGTCTCACTGATGCCAGAACAAAATTAACCTAAGACCAAACCCAAACTCATTTACCCCATGGCCTCAAGTTTTCAGAAGAAGTGTTGCGCCCTGTTAAATATCCCACATTATGCTGAATGAGTCACAGTTTAAAATTCTCAGGATTGTAGAAAGCTGGAAGGTCACATGTCCACAACCAAATTCTCTTGGGTTATCTTTAGCCCCCTAAGTAGCCACCTCTGGTTGGACCCGGCATCCTATGGCTAGCAGGTAAAAATCCCTTCTCACAGCTCAGCAGGGAAAATATGCAATGTGCAATTGCGAAAACTGAAGTCTGGATCTGTGAACCAACATAAGAAGCCAGCAGGCAAGGTAACCAACCACAGGGTAGAGACAGGATCCCCAGGGCACCTGGCTAGCTAGTCTAACTGCTCATCAAACCTTGGGTTCAGTTGAGAAACCCCCGCCTCAATAATAAAACGGAAAATGCTCAAGAAAAAACGCCTGGTGTCGACTTTGGACCTCCGCATGCATTCGTACCCATACGTGCTCACACCTGTGAGCATGCAGACCCTCACACAAACAGCACGCACAAAAGGGGCACACAAACGAACACTTATTCACCAACCCGAAGGTTAAGAACATGAACAGACAGCATCTGAGACCAAGAGCTGAGATCGTCCACCTCACTTTAACCCGAGTCGCGATGTTTTCATCAACACAGTCTTAAAAGTTCCTTGGCTTACAACTTTGTTTTTAACCGCAAAATCTTCATGAAAATGTTAGCACAGGAAAATACGGAATTTGGGGTAACCTAAGTCTGTGTTCCCGGGCCATGGTCACTCACTTATATTTGGCTCCAGAATGAGATCTCTTCTCTGTGAAGTGAGAATTGGTGGGCTTGTGTTTATAAGGCAGGGTCTTACTCTGCAGCCCTGGCTGGCCCAGAACTCTCTATGTAGTTCAGGCTGACCTTGAACTCACAGAGATTAGTCTGCCTCTGCCTCCTGAGTGCTGAGATTAAAGGTCTGAGCCGTCAAGGTTCACTGTCTACTGTGTTTATGTAATATGTTTACTATTATTCTATAGAACCTTAGACATACACACAACCAGTCAGAGGGGGAGGGAGAGAGGGAGGGAAGAAAGAAGTGGGGAGAGAGAACACAGAGGAAGAGGGGCGACGAGGAGAAACTGACTGAGGCTGAATGACTCGACCATTCAGCTCTCTTTGCCACTAGACTGCTACAAGGGCCGTGAACCTGACAGCAGGTGACATGTGATGCCTGCCACTAAAAGATTCTGCATCTGTCCACAAAGAGCCCGGAGGACAGATCATGGCAGCTTGGGTGTGGCACACACAGCAGGATTGGGGTACATGCTGGATGCTAAGGGGAAAACATTTTACCATTATGGAACAGTACAGCGGAAGTGAATCAAAAATCCCCCAGCTCCCAAGCTGTGAGGTCAGGGTCTGTTTACTCAGATACTGATGGAAAATTAATTTCATTTCCATTCTAGCCTGTCTCAGAATCCTGCCGACCTCAGTAATGTAGTCTAAGGAGATGCTTCGAGCTCTGGGCCCATGGATCTCACAAGGAATGTTTGCAGTTGGGGGCAGAAAGGCGCCCACGGAATGGTGACCAACAACACCGAAGGATCCTTAAACAAAAGCCCAGGTCCAGAATTCTGAAACTTTAACTTAATCCTTTCTTGTGAGGCAGTCAGGGAAAGCTAATAAAAAGCAAACTTTGCGAATGCAAAGACATGATAAACGTGTGTCTTCAGTCCCCAAATTGTCTCTGTAGTCATTCGCTGCACAGTTGAAAAGAAAAGCCGTGTGATCATATTTTATAGCTGCCTCTCTGGAACGTGCTCAATATGCAAAGAGACCATAAAAACCCATTACCAGAGAGCTGTTCTTTCTCTTTCCCTTGGAATATGAGGCCCCCAAGCGACAGAATGCAAAATAATGATGCCATTTGCAAGTTTATTGACGGCTCGCTGCGCTTCAAGGCTCTACACTTTCTTAAAGGGGGTTCAGGCTGTGTTTTATTTAGGTGCTGGTGGGACGACGATGGGCTTACCAATAATTAAAAATTAATCAGGACTCCTCAGGATGCTTTCAAGCTTTAGGAAACCAATCTATTCAGATCAGAACCAAAAGCCGAAAAGATTGGGGCTTTGTGCTTGAGGCACTGAGGGGGTCACCTCTGGGATATCCAGGACAGAGAAACCCTACCGAGCGGCGTGACCATAGCTGGAGTTAGTACTCTGGCATGGACAATCTGTTTCCCATAGGTATTTCTTGCTCTCTTCTTCCTTCTGGGCTGGAGCCAAGGCTGTAAAGGCCTTCCCTGGGGTACACACACTCCATCCACGATGTCAGTTTTCTTTAAGTATGCCGCACTTCCAAAGCAGAGGATGGCCAATCACAGGGCTACTTGGGGCCCTTGAACTCTGCTTGGGATAATCTCGAAGTTCATGACCTTTCTTTTCTCCATAACCTCACTAAAGTTCAGAGCTCCTGGCACCTCACCCCATACCTGGAGGCCTCTTCCTCTGCTCAGAGGTCAGTCTGAAATCTCTTCAGGCCTGTTTAATGTTTCAGTGCTGCCTCCTCCGCTTCCCCTCAAATCTGAATTAGGACTCTTTGCTCCTTTTTTGATCAAGGAAAGCCATAGCTGTATCACACGTCATTTTTGTCTTTTGTGATGTGCGCCTAGCAATAGGGAAGGACACATCACCAGTTCATTGACTGGCTAAAGATGTGACTACAGAGGCAACCTGGTAGATCAGAGTCGGGCTGTGTGTGTGTGTGTGTGTGTGTGTGTGTGTGTGTGTGTGGTGGGTCCCTTCAGTGGGGCCACCTGTGACTCCTGCCCCTGTATTCTGCACTGTCCTTGGCACACACCGGGCACTTTATATTTTTGACTGAGCTAATAAATATAATCAAGTTTCACTCTGTGGCAAACTGTCAAACAAGCAAAATGCAGTAAAAGCAATCGGGGGAGATGGCAAGTTTAAGTTCATCATTTCCAAAAGAGAGATTTACTCTTTTTAAGCATGTGTATGTATGTGTGGGGTGTGTGGCGGTGAAGGCAGGCACACCCAGAGGCCTGAAAAGGGTATCGGATCTCCTGGAGTTGGAGTCCAAGCAATTGTGAGCCAACTGGCACAGGCGGGAGCAACCAAATTCAGGTCCTGTGCAGGAGCGGTGCGCATGCTCCTGAGCCATCTCTCTAGCCCTACGTTCAGTTTTGAGGAATGAAAAACATCCTTTGTTTCTCTGGCGGCTCTTTATTTTAAGGTCACGCTTACAAAAGTCGACCCCACCCCGCTTTCAATCAGTTTAATATAACTCGTCCAGGACTGGTTTGTGGGGCACTGTGCTAGCTGGCTTCTATGCCACTAGACACAAGCTAGAGAGCCTCAATCAGAAAGCGCACCATAACACTCAGCTGTAGGCAGGACTGGAGGGCATCTTCTCAATTAGTGACTGATGTGGGAGGGCCAGCCTGTGAGGGGTGGTGCCGCTGCTGGACTGGTGGTCCGGGTGCCACAAGGAAGAGGGCTGAGCAAGCCATGGCGAACAAGTCCGGAAGCAGCACCCCACCCCTCCTTGGCCTCTGCATCAGCCCCTACCTCCAGGTTCCTACTCGGAGTACCTTTGAAAATGAACTGTGATGGAAACAGAAGCAAAACGGGCCGTTTCCTCCCAAACTGCTTTCATTATGGTATTTCACTGCAGCAACAGAGACCCTTCCCCTGCTCCTCCCTCCCCTCCTTCCCCTCCCTCTTTCCCTTCCTTCCTCTGTCCCTGGCTTCTTCCCTCCCTTGCTTTCTCCATTCTGCTAGCTGGAGCTTTTTTCAATCTTTCCTGCTTCTAGAATTCACTTGATTCAAAGCTGTCCTTTTAAAATTTCTGTCCACACCCTAATGCTAACAGAATCGTGTCCTTATTGTTTGTCTTTGAAATGTCCCTCACAGGTTCACGTTTGGGTGCTTGGTCCCCACCTGGTGGCACTGTGTGAGGACAGTGTGGAGTCCTTAGGAGGTGGGGCCTTGCTGGGAGAAATGGATCACTAGGAGCCCAGGAGTGGGCCTCTGAGGGTGCTGTCTGACCTCTGGTTCCAGCTTTGCTCTTTTGCCTGGTCATCCATGACGTGAACAGGCCCTGCCTCACGCTCCTGACACCATGAACTGCCTTGGAGGACTGAAAGCCCTGGAACCATGAGTCCCCTAAAACCTTTCCTCTCTAGGTTGGGCTTCTCTAGGCCCTCTCCTTAGAGTGGACATGAGTGTGTCCCAAACCTTTCGTCTCCACTCGTGAAGCTGACTGCTATCACCCCAGTCACTCAGCTCTCGTCACGCCTGACACAGGGAGATAAGTGTCCCAGCCAAGAGAGAGGCCACCAGATGAGGGGAGTGAATCAGAAGATGACAGAGAAGCAAATCAGACATGCCAAGGCACAGAACAAATACGGTAGCTTTGTTTGGAAGAATTATGGTAAAATCAACAGGCTGTCCAAAGAGGAGGAAGTCATTTTTCTTGGGAAGAAGGACTCAGAGATGGGAGGGCCGGGCTGACAGGCAGCTACTGCTTCTCATTACAGCTTGTTCTGTTTGATTTCCAACACTCCCAGTCACTTTGACATAAGTGACACATACACGAGAGAAGGCAGCTTCCCTCCGAGCCACGTCTGTCACATGCGGAAGCCAGCAAGTCTGCAGCAGAGACCCGCGTTGCCGCAGCGCAAGCTAGATCTCTTTGCAGAACTGCAAATCTGGGACGTGCTACTGAATCATTAATAGTACATTTTTAAAAATTGATATTTAAATGAGATCCTCAATTGATGTGTTTCATAATTTACATAATCCTAATTCGTTTATTCTAATGCGTCCAAAAATGAAAGTGTAAACGTTTCACAACCAGCATGCTCCCCAGTGCATCCTTCCACACGTCCTCCAGGTCCAGAGGCTTCCCTGCACACGCCAGCCCACAGGGATCCTCTGTTCACCTGGGGGTTTACAAAGCAGCGGGCAGTTTATCTGTTCGCTCAGCCAACACATACAGAACAGCACCCATGTGCCAGATTCAACGTTCATTATTTGGTCCCATATACTTTCTAGTTTATCTGAATATCCACCCGTGGTGACTAATAACCATTGTCACCTTGACAGGATCTAGAATCACCTGGGACACAAACCTCTGGGCAGAGCCATGAGAGATTACCGGGATTCTGTTAATTGAGGTGAGAAGCCTACTTTAAATAAGAATGACGCTATTTCTGTGGTCTGAGGCCTGGGGTGGGGTAAAGAGGAAAAAGTGAGCTGAGCACAAACATCCATTGGTCTCTGCTTTATGACTGTGGATGCCAAGTGACCGGCTACCTCCAGCTCACACCTTCCCTAGGCTGCCTCCAGCTCACACCTTCCCTAGGCTGCTTCCAGCTCACACCTTCCCTAGGTTGTCCCCAGATCACACCTCCCCTAGGCTGCCTCCAGTTCACACCTCCCCTAG